ACACCTCTCTCGCTTCTGTGACCCTCAAAGCCTCAGCCACTGATTAAAGTGTAACAGTGCGTTGGAGAAAATAAGGTTTCAGCTGCAGGGGTGCAAAGAGTAGACTAGACCACTACATTTGGAAGCCTGGTTAGTTAGCCTGCACGGGTGTGTTTTTTCCCCAGTAGAGTATGGTGTGGGTCTGCTGGTATATGGTAACAGTTAAGACCCAGAAACTTACAATATAATTCTTTAGAAGAACTCAATAAATGTTAAGCTATTTGCAGTCGTTTTTGAAATTTCACGTCAAAGAAGGCCCTAGGTCACAATGATGTGCCTCCCCAAGAACAACACGCAAGCCCAAGCTTAACTCGAAGAGTGTAGTGGTCCATAATCGGGGCTCCTGCACTGTCACAGTGCACACAACAACAATGACCCATAAGCAAGGATGGTTTTCAGTGTAGGCTTAGGTGTGTTGCTGAGTGGAGATCTCACGTCAAGCCTTCCTAGATTTCTGCCTTAGGAGAATTAGTGGGGGAACACAGAATTTCCATTCATCTCATAAGCTTCTTCAAAGTTGTCAATTCAGTAGAAAATACTGAGTATACAAATTAATATAATAGTACTTAGGTGAGAGGATAAACCTTACTGTGCCTTTTTATTGGGGAATTCAGAGAAGGAGGCAAATAACTCTTCCACAGCCTAAATGCATTCGTTCCTGGCTCTCAGTGTCCTGAGGTGCCTCAGCATCCTGGCAGCTGTAGGTGACAGTTCCACAATATGTACAAGGTAAGGAGGATGTCACAAGTATTACAAGACATGGCAAAGATACCTAGGAGCTCTACAATCTACCAAACAAGCACAGCAAACAAACGGTGTCTAATGGATAATGTATGGTATACAGCACACAAGTTATGTCTCCTTGCAAAATCAGGATTGCAAACGTAAACTTCAGAACAGGTTTCAAGAGCAGCATGTGGCTTACTGCGTCACCTCTGGCAATACCTGAAGTCCACCACCTCACGAGTACTGCATTTTCTCTTACAAAAACCAACCTCACTGAACCAACCAGAGCTAACGGGCCCACGTTCCTGCAACCCATATGACTATGGCAGAGGTTAAACAAAAATGCTCCAGCAACACAGCTTGGCTACCACTGTATATTCAGCCTTTATGTTGTCTGCGCTATATAAACGTTGCTCTCGGAAAGTAAAGCACACAGTGATATACAAACGGTATCAATGGCTGAAGAGATTACATGATCAAGCCTGAAAGCAAATGGAAGTTAACAAAAGTAGTCTTTTAGGAGAGGTAGCCATATTAGACTCAGCATTCAAAAAAAGGGAGTGCACTCAAAGGGTCAACATACATTATAGTTTCTTGCAGACCCATCATGGTTTTCTTTTTTCTACATCTTTTTTTCAGAATGTACGCACCCAGGCACACACGCACACACACACGCATACACACACACACATATATAAATATAAACATCTATCTTTTATCCTAATTCCACTTCATTGCTGTAACTTTGCCACACTGAGAACAAAGGCCAGCCTTCCTTTCATTCTCTCTCAGCTGTCTCGTGTCTACAACTGTTGCCTTCAGTCTGTTCAGTATCTGCCCAGTAGCTAAACAGGCAGTGGAAATTAAAACTGCTTCAATTTAATATCCTGTTCCAAAAGACAGCATCCACACTATGAGGCATTCCCTCGTTCTGATGCGAGTTACAAATCTCTTGGGTTTCTAAAAACTGCAGAGTGCTTCTTCAGCCTTGTGCCACAAAGGCAGCTTTCACCCAAATAAAGACGACCAAAGCTGGAATTTAAACACCACAGGCTCACACGCTTCTACCAGTCCCTTGTTCCTGTGCCCCTTTCAACAATGCTTATCACTTTAATTTCAAAAATCATGCACCAATGCTATAAAATAGAAACCCAAACTACCAAGAAGTCTCTTGTTCATGACTTTGGGATATTGTATTAGTATAAAAGAGCATTCAGTCATCTTAAATAAATATATTCTATTTCTGAAATCACAGCACATTCAAGGGGTAGTTACTGCCATAAGCAGAGCATTAAGTAATCTCCATAGATGTTTTTAGAATCACAGAATCATTTAGAGGGAGAAGACCTTTAAGATCGAGTTTTGACTGATTTGGTCTAATATCTGGAAAATAACCTACTGTGGGGATAAGAATCTGCATCTCAAATGTTCTGCAGAACATTTTTCCCGTATTTATATACAGTACTAGAACAATTAAGAAGACATTACAGTAATTTTTTCCCAGCTGCTTAGATCCGTAGCTTCGGCTACAACAATGTATTTTGTATACCTCAAAACTACATACGAAATATCAAAGATCACTAAATAAATAAAAGCCAAGGAACACTGGGACAGTACTGCATTTTACACTTGAGACAAGATTCCCCCCTCCCATGGATAAGTCACAGAGGACGACTATGGTAAATGCTTTTCTTTTTTTTTTTTTTTTAAAGAAAGATTTATACACAGGTTCAGATCCAGAAAATAATGTGAAATGCATAAATATCGATAGCTTTAGCTAAGTTAAAATGGGTTCAGTAAAGTATGATACAACATATTCAGAATAAACAAAGCAGAAAAGCATCATATTTTGGTTTGCTTGAGATATACATAAGGTGCAATAATTTCTTCTCTAGAGGCATTTGTGGACAATGTGTTAACGGGTAACAGTGTTCGCTGGTATACTGAAGTACACACAATAGCAATAAGATTTTCCAAAATGAAAGCAGCTGAAATTAATTAAAATTAAAACAAAACAAACAAGGAAAAAACCCAACCCAAATACAGTAAGATATTGGTCTGAAATTTTTGTTGTGCTAACAGACTTTGTTACCTGAAAATACTGATACCCCTTCTAGTAGATTCAGGGAAAAATTCTAGCTACTGAAATCAAGACATCACTCAGAGAACCAACAAAGGCAAATGCCTAGTGAACTATAAAGCTTTGCAGGATTTCTGCTACTCTCAGTGCCTAATCGCTTAAAAATTAAGCATATCTACAAAAAGGTTTGTAAGTATCTGAAAACAGTCATATCCAGTAAACTGACCCAACCCTATCCCCTCTCTAAGGGAAAGTCAAGGAAAAGCAGATCAAGTAAGATATTAATTCATATAGAAAAAAGTAATTTTCTATTTCTTTTAAAAAAGGTACCATTAATATACAGAAATATCTTCAGGAATAATATTGAAATTTAAATCGAGGAAGGATGGGGTGCTTTGACAAAAATATATCTACTCTAAAGGTTTCTAGAGAAATAAGTTAGTACCATTGTCAACGTGAACGGCCTGCACTGTAACATATTTGGATTTCAGCTAATTATAAAGTGGTCCAAAACTCCAACAGCCACCTTGCTGTGACTCAACAGTTTTAAGTCTTTTAAGTTTTTCCTGTCTTGTTAAAATAACTTATAAAACTTTAATAAAATCTCATTAAAAATACTGCCATAGGCTGCAATGGCATTCTAGGGGCAATTAGTCATATAATCACCTGAATCTTTAAAAAGCCTTTTCATTGACTCGTTGGCTTGTAAATTTTGTTGTTCTTTTGTTGTTGTTCCCTTCTTCTGACACATGCATCCTCAATGGTGCTGTTTCAGTGACGTTTCCCCAGCTACCTGTCTTTTGTCAGAGCTTTAATCCTCTGTTACAACTCGTGTGGTACGTTGTATATTGTTTCCCGACACTGAACCAAAGACTTTCACTTGACTACAACAATGAAAGGCTAAACCTAGCAAGCATTAATAGAGTTACTGTCCATATGGCTATTACATCAAATTAGTTACAAAATAACCCCAAAACACATTATCAATTCAGTCAAGTATAAATAAGAATGCCTGACAGAATGATGTAAACTCGCATTATTTAAAGACTTAATTCAAAGAACTTCAAACTCAATCTACTACTATCAAAAGTTCAGCCGGTATGACGAAGACTAATAGAAAATTATTGCTGGAGTCCAATTTGGTAAATTGTTGTGCTACAATGCAAAAAGTAGGGAACATTTCTTGTGCTATAGAAGAAGTACCCTGTTGAATTTGTAGCTTTAGATCAATTACTAGTGATCATTTTGCATCTGTTGGTAGGAATCAATGCTTGGTTATACAATAGTTTAAGTCGAGATAGCGAAGGTAGCAGGCCAAGTGATACACTCGGCCTGCTTTTGGGATGTATTTATGAGAGCAAAACACAAAAATTCAACATAAGAAAAGACAGAAACTGGCAGATGGATCTGTTTGGTAGTCTGAATTCAGTCAAACATTACTCTTCGGTTGTAGTTCATCCGAATACCACTCGTCACTTTACCAACACAAACTGTAATTGGCCCTGTACGCAAACTCTGAAGCTGATTTGGACTGTGCATAGTAACTACAACAATGCCAGTGTCTGTAGAATGTAAAAGGTATGTGTATCAGTGTACATGTATATCGAAAAGTCACGGGTTTAGGTTTTTCAGAACGGTGAAATAATACTAAGGTCACTTTTGAAAAATGCATTTGCAGTACTTTTTGTTTACTGGAAAGTTTCACCAAGTCGCAAATATCTACGCAAAAATAAAGGAACGCTCAAAGGCATGAAAGTCAATTATCTGCAGTATTTTCTTTTCCGTACACCACTCCTTTTTCTAATGCACATCATCCTGGTTATTAAAAGCTAAATTTAAAAGAAACAAACCCAAACATAGCCTGTCAGAATTTTTGCCAGTAAACTCTACCACTCCAGTGGCAAATATAAAAGTGCAGAACATCTGGACCACATGGCTGCCCAAACACCGCTAACAATGGTACATCTGTCCAGGCTGCCTTGAGTTCTCTGGAACAGGTTTTAAATTCATTCTACAATATAAACGTAGGCATAACCTATTAATATAAACCATCTTAGAACTTAAATCTTCATGTACAAAAATGACTAAGAATATCTAATAATAACTAGTGCAGTGCGTCAGTGTTTTTGTTGTTGGTTTTTTTTTCTTTTTAATTTTTAGAATAACTAGGTATTATACGAAACTAGTTGCCATACTCTCTGGTTGGTAAAAGAGACTCTGTGAGAGCTAACAGTAAAGGCAGCCTTTTTCACACCAACCACCTACTTACTGTTTAAAAGCCTTCAATAGAAAGCAACCTCTGGCATCATTCCATTGCTGTTCATTAATAGACAATTAATATCACCCTCCTACATACTGGGTTCTGATTTGAGGACCTGGCTCAAGTTGCTAACGTCAGGCTTCCAGTGAATTCTGGGCCACTCAGAGCAATAAGCACTTGCTTGCAGTCTACAGTTTCCATCATGGACTGACTAGCTTCCCTTGGTAAAGACAAGGCTAGGATATTAGGTAAAGCACAATGTTTTACAATAAAGTGGAGCTTCACTGGTCAGCGCAGGAAATAAGCACTGGAGCCTGAGACATTTCATTTGGCTGTCCGTCATGTGGGAGAGGCGTGGCCCTCTGACTCCTGCAAAAGAAGAAAAGAAAAGCCACCCGTCATTATTTGGAGCACAGGAGGTGCTATTCTCAGACCAGAAAGGATGGAAAGCGGCACGTGGTATGGTTTAACATCCGACATTACAGCACTGTAACTCCCTGCTGCTACAGATGCCCACGTAGCATCTGTTACACTCTCTTCGTACAGGTATTCCCGCAGCAGTAAGACAATACCCTGAGGACAACCTGCAACATAATGCAAAATCAGGCAAAAAAAAGATGTGATGGCATTTGACTACCTAAAACAAAATGCATGGCTGAAGGGTAAGTTAAGAGTGCACAAGTGCTGTCACTCATTTTGTAAGGGAATGGCTTCAGTCCTCAGAAGCAGAGTACGGCTCATGTGTGGCACAAGGTAAATGCACAGACGCATATGTCATGTTCATGCGAGCCAAAAGCCAGCTTTTAAGCAATATGGAAATATACTCATCAGCAGAGCTGCACATTGGGATTACTTCAAGTTTCATGACTTAACACTTCATCAGCCCAGTACAACACCACTTTCGTTACTACAGCAGTGCTAATTTACAAATGATGCCCTGGCACAGGGGATCATAAAAATAAACTGTGCCAGTATTATGTGCTGGAAATCAACATCAATCACGGTAGCAGATGGACTTGGGAGAGCTCCTTTGCAGCCTGCCTTTTAAAATACATACACAAAGCACGTCACCACCGCCTGTTATCTAATCTCACAAGTCAGGTTCTATTTTTGTTACAGTATGTGTCATCTGCAGCAACGAAAATCTGGGGCCCACTTCTTATTTACCCAAGGACCACTTTACCTCGCTCCAGCACAGCTAAGACCCTTGCAGAAATGGAGGCACCAATGGGCTTCACACAACTGGAGCACAACGAAGTGGCCTTGGCACAAAACGCAGCTCAGGCTCACAGCTCTTAACTGAGGCATGCACAAGGTAAATAAAGCTTAACAGAAGCTTTCAAATGAAAACCATGCTGCCACTTCCAGACAAGCTCTAATTACATTTAAAAAGGAGTTTGGCTTCCATTGCCTGAGGCTCTGTGAAATTATTTAATAATTAAATTCAGTCGCTGAAACAGCACATCAAGCAAAACTCTAAAGCTATTCTTCTCATTTCCGGCTATTTGCAGACAAAAAAATGTGTTGTAAAACATAACAAACAGTCAAAAGAGTAGAAATGAGAGGAACACCTAGCCCATCAGATTTAGGTTTCCATTTGCCAAGCCTGTGAGTGACAGGGCTAAGTTTCTACGGAGAGAGTCCTCCCCTGGGGTGATTACAAGCTGGAATTTGCAACAGTTGCTGGACATTCGCTGGCTTTGGTGCTTTCAGGCCTCATGGAAAGTGCGGCATTGCTCTTTGAGATGAGATGACAAAAGGTGGGAGTAAGAAAGCAAGACCCAAACAGAAGGGTATGTAAAACATTACCTCACTTCAACAGGGACAAGAAGAGGACAAGAACTCTTAGAGGAATAAAGGGAGAAATATCACAGCAAAATGAATCCTGTTGCTCTTGTGCAATTCTGGTCAATGTTAATGGAAATCAATGAAACCACAAGGGTGTGAGTGAGAGCTGAGCTTGGCACAGCACTTCCCAAGTCTCACCTCGTGGCTTCTGACCACGGAAGATGACAGAAATGAGTTCAGACTTTTGCTCTCTTGATAGCAGACACTTGTATTGCAAAGCTGGGAGGAAAGGTCAGGCCAACTGCAGTGTGAAAACACTTCTCTCCCAAAACAATGTTGCTTAAGCAAGACAACAGCTTCTGCAGATAAGAGCCAGCAGGCTGGGTTCGGCAGACTTTTTTTTCCTGTAAGGCCCCTGAGTTTCTAAAAAGCCTTTCAATGTCTGATGCACAGTCTGAACACACAGCACAGAGTTGGCCGATGTGGGCCACAAGATCAACAGTAAAATGAGGCTGTGAATGGTTTCACCAACCACTGCCTTGTGGAGTTTCTTTGGCAGGTGGCAATCTCTCAAAAGCCATTTGCAGAGGCTGTGATGGTTTCAAACTGCCCCAGCACTTCCTGACTGACTTTTCACTGTAGAAAGGGATGAGGTTTCACCTCCAATAAGCTGCAGCGTGGAAGAACACCACTGGATAATTAAGAGCCAAGGAGGGCTTTCTGTCATTAGTTTCCTCCCATCCCAGGTCTCGCATGCAGGATATGACCATGCTGAACTGACACAACAGCCCTAAGTAACCTGCACATTCTCCACCTTATCTGTGTGGACGGTCCACTTGGTAACTGAGAGGACCAAACCCAACTGATGTGGCTTTCCACCACCCAGAGCTGTTCTGCCCCATGACATTCTGCAGGCGCTTTGCCTCCTACACAGCAAAGCACAAGAGTAAAAATAACAAGTTATCTTTCTTCAGCCACATTCAGCATAAAAACTTCGGCTGAAGTTATATGAAATTCTCTCTATGGTCTTAGGCCGCTGAAAGATGTGAATTAGCATGCGAGAGCTATTTAAATCCACTGTTATCTGACAGACGGCACCTCAATCATTAGATCTCAAGAAACACATGAACCTGTTTATACACAAAAATGGTAAGCAAGCTTAACAGGGAGGATCATTTTACTGACTAGTGAAACAGATTACATTGTCATTTAGGTGAAGACTTCACACTACTGAGCAAGTGGTGTAAAACAGACATTCATAGAAAGCTGTGGAAGAGGAAACACAGGCCAAATTAAACAGTCTGCAATTCATATGCTTTCTCAACAAGCTGGCAGTCACATACTATTCACTTAGACAACAAGGGGAAAATAAAACCATACCTGTGTACGTTTTCCATGGCTGCTACTTCTGCCAGAGCAGCTAAGCTAAAAAATGCAGACACCGCTGGCATATCTGATGTAATAGTATAATTTTCTTCTGCCTCTGCATTTCTGGAGCGTTCACTGTTGCAGTCTGTTTCTGCACTTGATGTTTTTTGAAGAGTATTTTGTGGCAGCTCTTTTGGCTTTTCCTCTGCAATAAAAGAAAGTGAAGTTTGCAAATCTAGCCCTTACATTCACACCAGCACATTGATAAACTGACTAGCTTGGTGTCAACAGAATCTTTACCTCTAGGACCTGGCATTTCCAAGTATAATGTGATTCATGCTGCAGCCTATTCTGACCAAAGCATTGGGCAGAAGCGTAACACTATGATTTATGAAGCAGTTTACTGATTTTGGATTCAACTGAGTTTGATCTTTTAAGTCAGGCAAGAGAGTATTTATGTACGTTTTAGATACAGAAGTCCTGAAAGATTATCTTAACTGCAGAAAACTCCTGCAAGGGCTGTGGCACTGCCTGTCAGAACATGGAATTCATCTTTACATCCTATAACTACATGCAGGGCAATGTCTTTGCTGCACTGGAAAGAAATTATGGAAGGTAACCATTTTCCATTTCTCCCTGTATCAGCTCTCAGTTCCAAGAGAGAAATATCCAGGCAGAGAAGACAGATTTGGGCATTCAAATAAAGTAAGTTGGCCATTATGGATTCACTGATTTCCCAGTTGATAGATACCTGTATTTTAAAGAATGACCTTTCTGAGCAGGTGTGAAACCAAGCTGACTGAAAAATCCTTTGTTGCGACTCCAATGCCATCTCCAACCATTCAATTTTAACAAAATTTCAACTCCCATTTCCTTACCCAGTGTCCCTCCTGCTGGTGACACTCGGCCATCTGCTGTTCGGACAAGATGTGTTATTTTAGTTTTCCTTGCTTTCCTTTTCTGGCTGCCAACTAAAGGCTCGTGCATCATTGCTGGCTCTGGAGTGTTTACGGCAGATAGAGAAATTCTGTTCTTCCAGGCAGATTCACTGGAATTCCTGTCTTCTGAGAATATGGCTAAAATAGGACAAACATGCAGTTTTACACGTACAATAATTCAACTACTAGCTATGCCCATTTACCATTTTGCCTCTACCTGCATAAAGCCTTCCCTCAGACGTACTCAGAGTATAACCCATAGTAAGATATGATCTGAATGCTGCAGATGTCTGCAGAGGAATAGCGGCATCAGCTCTGAAACAAATTCTAGGGGGTTCAAGTTTCTAATATTTGGGAAGGAAACTGTGAGACGGGCATTAGCACTTCAGCA